TTTATTCACTTGGGGCTCCGCCCCTCGTGAATGAAAAACTGTGAGTGTATTTACCGATAGCCAATTAATATCTATAGTGTAACTATAACAAAACTAAGTAATCTTTCAGATTACAGATATTTCAAACATCGATGAAAGTTTTTTGTTTGTTCATTTTCATAACTCGTTAGCAATGCTTGTCACTTTGTGATATTTTCCATTAATTTGAAGATGTTGCCATTTGTAATATATTCTTCGTTTGAGTTTAAAAGATATGACTTTTTAAAAGATATTTTTGTTTTGAAAAAAAATAATATATATTTTTAAATATAACATGTATAATGAATATTTCTCTTTGGTTAAGTACTGTAACTCATTAAAAAAAATTGTGTCCCATGGGTACTTAATGCTAAAAATGTTTTTGTCCCATGGTTTTCTTCGATGAAAAAAGTCATTGTCCCATGCCTGTTTGTACCGGTCCCATCTTTGTGATAAATTTTGCCTGGTCCCTTACTGGTCTCCACGTCCCGCAGTGGATTCTAACCCGCGATGTAAGTATCAGCTCGATCCTACTCCGCAACTCTAGAGCAGACGCTCTAACCACTTAGCCACGCGGTCGACCAACAAAAAAGTAAAACATCCTTTATTAAAAAGAAGCTTTGATTTAATCTAATAGATAAACTTATATTATCATTTTTCAGTACGAGTGATTTTAATAAACGAATTTGTTGAAGCGTATAATTTTTTCAGAAATATTCGATTTTCATATAGAATAGAATCAGACTCCGTTTTTTGAAACATAAAATAGATTTTATATTTACTTTTCCGCAATTTAAACGCCAGTTAATGAAGAATGGAGACCCGATCCATTCATATTCAAAAAATATTTTTATGGCTCCAATAAACCCATTTTCAATTAAATATGCTTAACTGTCAACTTTGAAAACAAATTATTAATTTATCAAATTATCAATTAATAAGTCATTCAGTAAAAGAAATGAATTAAATGTGTTGAAGATGACATGACTAAAATCCTTATTTTAGACAGGCGCGGATCCAGGAATTTTTTCCAGGGGGGGGGGGGGTCCACCCCAGTAAAAAAAAAATCCAACCTAGAAAATTCTTGACAAGCAAAAAAAAAAAAAACGGAAACAAAACCAAAAAAAAGTAAACTGCTTTCCCAAAAGTGAAAAACCTATTTCGTGGTGGTGGTGGTGGTGGTGGGGGGGGGGGGGGGGGGGGTTCGTTGACTTCTGTGACTTTTCGTACCAACCAACCCCCCTCCCTCTAGATCCGCGCATGTTAGAGAAAAAATCTTTTCAGTGAACTCTGACTGAAAATTGAGAAATATATTGTCTCATAGCGGGGGATTGTCCTCGCCTTGTACGCACTCTTTCTGTTCACATCCAGAAGCATTTCCCGGTTGTTAGCAGCTTGAAGGTAGAATAATGTTATCAAATACCGCAGTGAATGTAACATTGAATATGGAACTTTTTTCTGTTTCTCCCCCTCTCTTTCTCTCGGCCTATGCACGGTGAACTATATATACTAACAAAACTCAGAGCTCCTCGGGTGGCTCGTAGATGAGTCAGCCATGCAGGGACTGACAATTGAAATACATATGTGAGGGGCGGCGGGATAACTCTAATTAATTAGAAAATCTAGCACATATATACTCAAGCTAAAACCCAGATGCTATGAAATAGTGAAGAAAACATGAAGTTCATGTAGGCAAACATTTACTTAGATATTTGTTGCTTTGATCTACTAAGAAAAACTTTAAACAAACGGCATTATACATGTAAGAGACAAAGATTTTTTAATGACCCCACCCTATTTTTGTCTTTCTATAGGTCACCTGAGTCACTCAGGTGACCTAATTGCTATCCGTTTTTGTCTGTCGTCGTCCGTCGTGCGTTAACTTTTGAATATTTTCAACTTCTTCTCTAGAACCGCTCAACCAATTTCAACAAATTTTGGCATATAGCTTCTTTGGATGAAGGGAAACAAAAATTGTGAATTTCATGGTCCCTGCCCCCAGGGACCCCAGGGGTGGAGCTAAAACCACCAAAATTGATGTAATCTTTAAAAAAAAAAATTCTTTACTCCTGGACATCAAGCAGTCAAACTGTTGGCATGATTGTAATAAGCATTGGGCCCTCTACCTAAATTGTGAAATTCATGGCCCCAGGGTCAGGGGTTCTGGTGCTAGGGCGGGGCTCTATTGATTGTAATAGTCATGATTTTATATTGATTTTAATTATAACAACAATTTTCTTTCAGATGCCATTGAAAGTTATGAAATAACTTTCAATAATAAACTTGATTTAAAATAAAAATGTTTTATTTAAATATTAAACATTTAAATAAATTTATAACAACTACCTCTAATTAAAGTCTAGAAATCTCTAGAGTTTTAAAATTACAGTTAAACTCTTAACCTTGAATAAATAAATAAGTAAGAATTCCCATTGGTTAATAATTTCCCGCCAAAACCTTTAACCCCCTCCAGAGTGTCCAGATAATTACTAGCCTAGGAGCAGTCAGTGTGTAAAGTTGTATTTTTGATATTTGGAGTATTTTATAGACCACTGACAGTAAGTTGACTTTTTGACATTCTTATTTCACATTAATACTTTCATATTAATAATTGTATGAATGAAAAGTGGCATATGAGAGAATTTATTAAATTATTTAAGTTTGTCAAAGCTGATGAACTAGTTGATTTTAAACTTTGTAATGAAATGTATTTTATGACACAAAAGAATATATAGTGTATTTAAATGTTATTTATAAATTGTAGATATTAAACCCATAGTAAGACAATACACTGTATTAGAAATAGAGATGGATTCATACCCATAGTTTGTTATGTAGCTATATGTACATGTATATTGTAAATATTTATCCACTATATGAAGTGAATATATAAAAAGAAATATCATTTGTCAAGAGATATAACTCATTGACCTGTGTCAATATTTATTATTTTATTATCTAATTAATATGTAGTAATTATCTGATTTTATGATAACAATAGATTCTGCTGTTATGTGTGATATCAAATTTAGTTAATGTATTTTATATTGTTTTGCAGAATCTGGTACTAGTATATAATCCTTGTAATAAACATCACACTGATTAAAACCATCTTGTCTTGATTGCTGCTCCGCTACATGATTATATAGTGAAAATGCATTAATTCTTTGAAAATCTTCTTCTCTGCTCCTTAGTGTTGAGCAGATAAATAAAGTGCATAGTTATGATGAACAATTGTGATTCTTACAAAATTTTAAAACTTGTGGTCTTCAGGTTCTAGGGGGGGGGGGGGGGCTATATTTATTAATAAAATGAAAATGTGTTAATTCTTTGAAAATCTTCAACTAAGTGCATAGTGATGATGAGGGTACCTCTACCAAATTTATGAATTTCATGACCCTGGGACATAGGGTTTAGTGTTAGGGTAGGGGTGTGTTGAATCTGTAGTGAAAATGCATTATTTCTTGGAAAATCTTCTCTGCTCCTTGGCATATCGAAGGCAAACAGAATTAAAGTTTTAATTAAAGCAAGGATATTTTTACCAGATTTTTGAACATCAGGACCATTTGGTCAAGTTTTCTGGTCCTAGTCAGGGCTCTATTAATTTGTATTCAACTGAGAGAAGTTATTCCCCTTTGCCATTTACTTTTGATAATTAATCACTGTAAATAATGTATTTGAAAGTTAATAGAAGAGAATTATGCAAAAATTTTATTGAATAATACAAAAAGTACTTTCATAGTTTTAATGATCAGATAGACTTGTAAATAATAAATAGATAAAAATGAGACAAATATAACATTAAATGTTCTTCAATCTTAAAGTTTCTTCAAAGACCAAGAGAGGCCAATGTGAGTGGTCACAATGTGGGGTTAAAAGTAGTACAGAGGAACTAATAGTTTGTTAATAGTCTGCATGGTGATAGTGCTAAATGGGGGATGAATTAGAATTTAATGTATGAGTTGTTACTGAATACTAGACTAATTATTTCATTGATTCTGATCATCCTATTTCTCTTGCTTTTGGGCAACAAAGCTTCCTCTGTCAGTTTATTTTATACTCTATGGATCCTCCAAGTTGTTGTATTATACTCAGGTGACAGTTAAGGCCCTTGGGCCTCTTGTCTTGATTATCTCCCCTTGGAAGGGGACTTGGCCTTAATTGTAACAATTTAAACTCCCCTTTACCCAAGGATGCTTTGTACCAAGTTTGGTTAAAATTGGCCCAGTGGTTCTTGAGAAGTTGAAAATGTGAAAAGTTTACGGACTGATGGACGACGGACAATGGGTGATCAGAAAAGCTCACTTGAGCTTTCCGCTCAGGTTAGCTAAAAATGCACAACACTTTCTGAAACCATAACAAAAATTTTATACCCACAGCAAGGAATCCAATCATCGCAGTTTTTGTTGTTGGGGATAGATGTATTGGTTGCATATGCAGTGAGAGCAGCTATGCTGACATCAGGTACACATTCATGACTGCAGTACGAGTTGCGTGAGGAGTTATAAATATCATATGTGGAATGAAGTGTTTTTTGTAAGAATTACAAGTAATTAAAGTACTCGTAAGTAAATGTCAGTGTCATGTAAACAACTAACAGAAGAATGTGCAGTACATATCTCACATAAAATTTGATCTCCTAGTTTTGCCCCACCAATATATTATATACACTTATCAAAAAGTACTTTTTTCTAGACAGGTGGTTTAAGAATTTTTTAATAAAATAAAGTTACCCTATTTTCAATTATGCACACATTTAAAAGGGATATCTTCAAGATCAAAATGGTCAGTGCAGCAATTCTCGGAAAGGAGACAGCCCAGAACACCCCCCCCCCCTCCCTCCACAATGAATACCAGGGAAACAATTTATTGTGAGCCAAAAGGATAATTGTAATCCTTTACACAAGGCACTTTTTATATCTGACAGACCTTTTTTTTTTTTAAATGTCAAGTAAAAATTAAAAAATAAATAAAAGACACTGTAACCTTCAGATGTATATTTTAATTTCAAATGATAAGGTGGCAGTGACATTGTATCACAACTTTGGAATATCATAGTATTAAATGATAAAACATTAATTTCAATGAATGCTTAGGTACATTGCACAGTTTACTGATAGTATATAATGATGTTTTTTGGACATCATAAACTATGAATATAACCATTAGCATGATGTGCATTGAGATTTATTTTCTACCTGAGATCTACAAATATATAATTCTATGACATGAGAAATGAGAAATTTTAATAGCTGTCATGGTTACTGGTTGTTACTAGGCCCATTTTCTATATGTTCTCCTTTCAAAACCTACAAAATAGAAAACAAGACTCATCAGATATAACATATTTGTTAGATTTACTAAGAAGAAGAAGAGAAAATGCGTCAGCTTCAAATTTTGGCATGCATCATTTCAGTCTTAATTAATGCATTTCTTTAAATTCATGTTTTACAAAAGTTGTAAAAGTTTGGACATTAAATTACAATAACACATTCAGTGGTCTGTACCTTTCTTGCAAACTGGGGTAGAACAAAAGCACTTCTGTGGACATCTGCATTGTAGTACTGAAGTTTCAATTTGATCATTTCTTCCTGAGTGAACTTTCTAACTGGCTCCTTAAAGTCGGCATCCTGTAATGATAAAAATCACATCTTACTGTATACAGCACTTGTGCTATAGATTAAAATTTACTGTATACAGCATTTGTACTGTAATAAACAACTTTAAAAGTACTGTAAACACTTCTCATGCTATAAATCATATCTTTATACTGTATACACCTTGTGCTTTAAAGCAAAATTTTTTGCATACAGCTCTTGTGCTGTAATACTGTTTCGGTACTTGTGCTGAAAATCACCACTTACTGTATACAGCTCATGTGCTGTAAATTGCAACTTACTGTATACAGTTTTTCTGCTGAAAAATAGCTTACTTTATACAGTTATTGTCCTGTAAATCACATCTTATTGTATACAGCTCTTGTGCTGAAAATCATATCTTACTGGTTACAGCTCTTGTGCTGTAGATTAAAATTACTTTATACAGCATTTGTACTGTAATTAACAACATACTGTAAACACTTATTATGCTATAAATCATATCCTACTTTATATAACTTTTGTGCTGTAAAACTGTATACAGCTATGATGCTGTAAAACCTATGTAACTTTAATTATACAACTTCTGTGCTGTAAATCACATCTTACTGTATAAAGTCCTTATGCTGAAAATTGTATCTCACTGTGTATAACTATTGTGCTGTAAATAACATCTTACTATATACAGCAACTGTGACAATTAATTATATACAGCCAATGTTGTAAATCACATCTTACTGTATACAGTTAATGTGCTGAATATCACATCTTAAATTTACGGCTCTTGTGCTGTAAATCATGTTATTGTATACAGCTCTTGTCCTCTCAGAAAGGGGTTCATTTTTACGTACACATTATTCTATGATGCTTTTGATAAATGTGTTCCAAGGAACGTATGTGTCGCCTGCTTTGTAGCTTCATTAAAGGTGTAAATAAATCTAAGTGTGGTCAGCTTTTTATTTACTATTAGCATGATAGTTCATAGTTTATTAACTTTATTTGCCAGCAAAGAAAAAAAGCATCCATGGATAGTATAAGACTGTGATAGAATCTGACAATCAAAGAAAATATGATTCCCTAACCCTCTAATGAATAATCAAATTGAAATTATTAGAAATAACTATTTATCATTTTTTAAATATGTGTTTCCAACAATCCTCCAAAAGAGATCTGAGTCTGTCTACACAATCCATTGTGGAATACTGATCCCGATGTATTTTCATGATATTTAAACATAAGTTTGGGTGGTAACTGAATATCATACTGGTTCAAAGTACTTTTTCATGAGCTAGACGTGTTTCCAATAATCCTTCAAAAGAGATTTCAGTCTGTCTTTACTGCAATTTTGTCACTGTCTACACAATCCATTGTGGAATACTGATTCCGATGTTTTTTCATAGTACCATATTTCAATATAAGGGTGAACTCAAAAAAAATGCATACATGTGATAAGTCAAAGACCACAAAACTGTACAGGAGCCATAAAAAAACTGGAATTTGGGTGAAAAAACTGTACACTGCCTATCAAAAAACGGTACAAAAAAATGGTATAAAATATCGCTTAAATTCTTCTGAAATTCCATCATAATCATTGTAATAAACATCGTATATTTTATACCTACGAAGATCTGGGTCAGATTCACGTATATTAAGACTAAAGTCATGTATATCAACTTTAGAAGTTGGCTTAATTTTTTTCAATCAAGTTACGTATACGAAACATTAACAGTAATTAAGTACCCCTTAAAAAATAAAGCTACCTAAAGGGGTATTTGATACGGATTTATAGCAAGATAATTATCCCAACTGGCAGTTCACACCTTCGCACGTGATGGTTTGTGTACACTACACAATTATCAGAAGGTCAAGTGTCAAACACAGGTGACGTTTTCCAGTGTCTCACGAGCGAGAATGAGAGGAAAATGGCGGCATTTAGCGAGAAATTCAAAATACTGTACAAATTTTCATATTCCGTGAATTTTGGTGTCCCGCCGGTACACGATGAATGGGCTCAAAAAACTGTACATTTTGCGTACAGCCTGTACATATCACATGTATGAAAATGACCAAACTCATATTTATCAACCCACACTAAAAATACAGGCAATGAAAATAGATTTTTATGTCTCAGAATATGTCTTTAGATAGGGTCTAAATACCTGCCAAATATCTCGTTAATATCTCAATTAACAAAAAAAAGTTATGCCCAAAAATGATGCTAAAATTGTCAGGAGTGCAACACCTTTTTGTGACATTTTGAAATTTCAATATTTTTTGGAGGTCTGTGAAATAAATAATAATGCTATATGTTGAAAATAAAGACTTCCCTGATAATATTCAAAGTATTAAGCTTTAAATGTGGGTTGTAGTAACTTTTGTTTAATCAAGTTGTGGTCATGGCTGATGTTTAAAAAAATGTTATACCATGTCAGGAGTGCAACAGAAAAAATGTAGTGTTGCCAAAAAAACATCAATTGTAAAATTCTGAAAGAAAATTAAGACAAAAAAGAATTTTCGAAGTGTAAAACAATAACTGATATACATTTTAAAACTTGAAAATGTTATATAAATCACAAGCAGCATTATTAGAGTCAAGCATATGTGCATACCCAATAATGTCAGGAGTGCAACATTTGATGTTTTGCTCCCAAGCATGAAAAAACTATTATCATTATATGATTTTCTGATTTTTATTTTGGAAAAGAAAGACACAAAGAACATTTTTACCAAATATATTTATCAATTACCGGATCTCTCTGTGCTTCAGATCTATATTTCTATGGTCAGGAGTGCAACACATTTTTTTAAAGATTCAAGTTGTGTGACGAAAACACTTCTATTCATGCTTAGAAGTATTCATTAATTAATAATGATCTTTTTGTATAATTTAATACCAAATTATTGACAGTTTTGTAATTAAAATCCTTCCTTTTTCAATTTTATCAATTCAGATGTGTTTTTATCTTTTTTGTGATTTTTTTAATGAATGTTAAAGATAAACACACTAAAAAATTGTCATAAAATTCAAGTAATTCCCCCTCAACTTCACTGAAACAACAGAACAAGTTCTTATGTAATTTTCACTTCATAATTCTACTTTAAAGGTCCCAATGCTTTTGGTCAGGAGTGCAACAAATATGTTAGAATTATAAATAATCCAATAAGCATGACAAGAATAAAAATAAAGAAAAAAATGATGAGTAGAATTTTTCTGGTGGGTTACTGTGTTTGTCCTCTAATGGAAAATATGCTATAAAATATATTTTATCCTCTAAATATACATTTAAGCTAGTTTTTTGGCATAAATAGGGAATAATTCCAGATAAAATGCGAATTTCAAATACTTTCATCTGTTTTAATTATGAAGTATTGGACTATAAATATTGCACAATTTCATTACCATTTGATGTTGCCAACACTTTATGAATTTTTGTGTTCTACGGTTTTAATTTTAGATTTTACTGCAGTCAGGAGTGCAACAAAACTGCTTTATAATTACCAATGCTTTTTAACTATCCTCACTAAAAAATAAGTTGAAAAAAATGTTTGATACTATTTGATGTTCAAAACACTATACCTATCAACAAATTACAAAAATTTTCTGGTCAATTCAGGGAATATTTTTCATCATTTCACATACAGTTTTATATACAATTTATATATATTACACTTCGCAAATAAGCATGTGTTAAGGTCTTCAAAATATGAAAAACCTGCTGTAAACGATCAAAAGTATCAAAACGACAAATTAATTTACAAAGTAAGAATGGGTTATTGTGTGTTATAATTTTTTAAACAATGTTAAATAAAATACATATCAGATGTCAGGAGTGCAACACAATAATGTAACATGGGGTCACTTGAGAAGAGAGAGAAGAGAAGAGAAGAGAACTCGTATATAAAAATTCTTTTTTGGCTTAGATTTAAAGAATTGGCTTGAACAGACAAAAAAGTGAAATTTGGGAAATTTTATTGCTTCATATTTTTTTCATATTAAAACTTTTCAAACCAGAATTGAAAAAAATAATGTAAAATAACAATCAAAAAGCCAATTTTTTGTCACATATACAAGAGAAGATACTCAATGAAGGTCTAGATTTAATCATTTATATCCCTTTTACCATTTTGAAGCATAAAAAACTATAATTTCTTGTGATTATGTATTTTAGAAAGTCTTTTAAGGTGTAATGATATTTTATTTTTTCAAAAGAAATTTTACTAATAAAAATTCTGAAACTTTTTAATCCAATGGTCTATTCAATTGCCACTTCAGGATTTTAAACTAGAATGCACATGCAATATGATGATATAAGTGAAAAATATGTTAGAAGTAGTTGAATTTTTCAAAAAAATTTCAGTTTGGTGGTCATTTTTTTTTTTAATTCACCCATAAATGGATTGTAATGTTGGTATTTTTCATATTGTCTTATGACAAACACTGCACATGCTATTCAGCTAAATAGCATAGACTAACCTCTTTTAAAAATGTCAAAAATATGCTTTATGTCGGCACTATGAACTTTTTTGAAAAGTAGGTCAAAAGTCAAGGGTCACGAGGTTGGAAATCAAGGTAATTTACAAAACCATAGTGCCGAGCGATATATGTGCAAAATCTCAAATCCATACCTCTTACAGTTCTCAAGATACAGGGTGTGATAGACGGACAGACAGATGCCGGGTAAAGTTATCCCTCAGTGCCACGCTGCTCTGCAGGCGACACAAAAATTAAAGTTGAAGTAATTCATAAAGATAAGTACTATTATGTTTACTTATCTGTTGAGGATGCACAAAAATTAAATATAATGAAAAATAATATACAATGTTAGTGTCTCACAAGAGTCATGGAAAATACATGAGTGATTTATGGTGATCAAAAGGTATAAATACAAGCAAACTAGCTGAATGCTGAATATTAATACATGTGTATTTACAAACCTGGTCACTTTCAACTCTGTGTTTCTGAGTGTTTTATACCAGTAATTGTTTATGTTTTGAAAATCAAAAAACTGACCAAAAAGGTACAAATTATATGTATTTACAGATCATGATCTTGACTTTTTTTACACTGTAAGACTGAACTTTAAAATACATGTATCAAGCTTACAATTGACTTAAATAACAACACTATGATGACTTTATCATTGAACAAATCCCAAAGGTATAATTTTAACCTGTTGGCTCAAAATGATAAATGGTACTTGCTTTCTATTTTGTACTTTCCAGCAAACCTAAAATATATTGTACAATTCATCATATTTGACCACTTACTGGAGTAAGTCCACAGAGTATAAACCCAATCTGTCCACTGGGGTAGGTTGGTATGGTCGTGTAGGCATAGTCCACCACTGGGTAGAGACCACGGCAAAAGTCCTGCATGCCCTTAATAAGTTCAATGTGGAGCCATAGACATTCACCTACCAATATGTAGATTCCCATGTATTGGTAATACTTAATAATGGGCCCTTAGCATCTTAATGAATTGATATCAAAAAAAATATTAAGGTAAAAATTGAAAATCATCAAAATATGCTTAAAATATCTTATTTTGACAATGCAAACTATAGAAGTTTACTAATTAAACTTTTCCCAAATTCTTCATGGTTTATAAATCTTCCCTCAGAAAAAAAAATACACTTAACCATGCCTTCTTCATAACTCTTCACATAACTTGTCATGTTGGCAGGATTCACCAAGTACACATAATTTTTTTACCTTGACAACAGACAATGCCTCCTGGTCGAAGGGCTTTCTTCATCAATTCATAATATGACTTCTCAAACAATGAAGACGCAGGCCCTGCAAACATTTTTCAATTTATTTAAATTTTCACTGTAATTACACTCAGAAGGAAAATTTTGTTTGTTTCTATTTTTTTTTTTTACATAGGATAATCTTGTTTAATTTAAAAAAGAAACATACTAAATTTAAAGAAGAAAATGGAATTCTTTAAGATACCTGCCGACCCACTTCATGTTGAACTCATAATTCAATTCCTTTGAGCTTATAATTGTTCATAAAATTAGTGTTTCATTGATGCATGCACACATACAATATTTGGTGCCAAAATGTTCTAACTGTCCATTTAAAAGTTCATTACTTAAAACATGTGTCATTAACTGATTACAGCATATATTAATTTTATAAAATTTATCATTTTATAATGAATTTGTTTACTTAATGTGAATGAAGATTGAAGAAAACATATTTTGAAAAGCATTAATGCTAGCTGTTTTAGACCAAAAAGAATTGGCCCTATTGCACTTTGTTCTCTGGATCAGAATACATGTATAGTAGCTCATTTGAACTTTTTAATTCTGGTGATCTTAAAAATTTCTATCTTGGAAAAACATCAGCACTCTTAAGTAAAACTAACTCATACACAAGTTCAAGGTACATGCCTCTTACACATGAAAACCTCTCTAGATTTGTTGTCTTCCCACAGACAAGCTAGTAAACAGGTTTGGGGGCGACCATGACGAGCATCTGACTGACATTTAAGGGATTTTTTCATGGCATGTCAGAATTGTTTGAATCAGCTCTGTAAGAATGTGACAGGCAATGGATTTTGGGTTTGTAACATGGCCCATTTGTAGAAGTAAAACCCTGTCAGTGTTATGCACAGCTACATGACTCTTCGCATGTATCGTCATGTGAAGTGTAAATAGATAAATAATATTATTATACTAGTCTTATTCTCTAAGGATTATTCTGTGTTTACCTATTGGATCTGAAGAGTCAGTGATGATAACATCAAATTCTCCCTGATGTTTTTTCATGTATTCAAATCCATCTCCAATATGTAGTGACAGTTTAGAGCTTTCAAACCCAATAGCCATCTTTGGCAGATACTTCTTGGAAACTTCTATCACTTTCTATTTTGCATACAAAAAAAATGTTTTTTAACATAAACAAAATTTGAACATGGTTATTTTTTGCTATGAACAAATTAAACACCCTGGTACTAATTTTTTTTTAATTCAATTCCTCCTTTATCCTTAGGTTAAAGCCTTAGGTTTGGCTAAGTTTATGACAAAGAACTATATACGGTAAGGGCTTATTCCTGCCCCCATAATAGTCAAATTTTGAAAATCTCTTGAAATGAGAAAAAGTGCATATATTGTATGAAATAATCCAAATTAAGACAATATATTATGAAATTGGAAAAATTAGCTGGCTTTTCTTGTCTCTGTGACGTCACAAACTATTTGGATTTCCGTTATTTTTAAAATAGAGGCCAAAATGCACAGAGTTTGTTCAATTTTCACTATAGTTTTTATAGAGCGCAAGCTTGCTCAGGTACCATATTCACATATTTCATTGATATTATCATTCTACACATTATATCAAAAGATCTAGTCTGAGCAGACCTGCGCTCGATAATTTCCAATCAAAATACCGACGTAAAATACGCTATTTTCTCTCAAAATCATTGCAATTTGGAATTTACGTCATTTTATTGACGTCATATCTAACTAATGATGTCATAGTTGATAAAAATATTTAATGCTTTGAAGTCTGCAAATATCCACCTGGTTTCGAACATAACTAAAGATTTTTCCATCAAAGTTTTATTTTGGGGGCAGATACTGGCCACTACAGAATATAGTCCTTTGAAGAGAAAATGACATTACTACAGCCTGTAAATTGATACAAAATTCTAAAACAGATTAATTTATCTTGATTAGGATTCCATTCGAACCAGGTATAATTCATGCAGACACTTTTGAATTAGGGCTGTATCAATATATCGATACGTATCAATATTTAAGAATGTATCGTATCGAAACATTAACTTCCAATACGTATCGGACAGGCAGATTTTCTCATAATTCTGTGAAAAAGTTGGGAATTTCAATCACCAAAGGTTTTTTTTCACTGTTTTGAATTAAAATTGATCAATAATGATATAATCATTAAGGAGATAGCCTACCTTAAATAAATATTACAAAATACATAGACAAATTTATTTGAACACGTTGTTTTACAGTCATTAAAAGTTTGAGTTTGAAGTGTAATTTTAAAGACAGTGAGAGCTCTAAGACCTTCGAAATGGGTTATAAAACAGTTAGTTTTTATAGAATTCATGCATTAAATGATTTATAAGACTTTTTTGATATACTTGTTAAAGAATCCAATATATTGGATATCGCATCAAAAATATTATATCAAATTTTTTTGCTCAATACACAGCCCTATTTTGAATTAACATACTCAGTTTCTGTGCATAGGATCAGAAATTACAATCTTCATTGAAATCAGAAATCAATTTTTTATGAATCATCTACCTTTGAACCAAATTTATACACATACATTTAAATATGACCAAAGTGTTACTAGTAATGAATATAGGATCCTTACTTAATTGTGAAATTCATGTCTCATCATAGGTGGGACTTAGTCTCTCACAGCCTTAGGTACTCATTATACTTAAGTCCCACAAGCCTCTTCAATTCCCAAGTTAAAGATTTTACCAAATTTGTATTTAATTTTTATAAATGCTTGTTTCTAGAACACACACAACCTTGTTTATTTTTTCATGCTTTTGAAACATTATATCCATAAGTACATACCTCATCAATTTCACACATTTCCACAGTTTGAACCTCTGGGTGTTTCACAACCTCTCTAAGAACCCCACCATCTCCCCCTCCAATAATCAGAACCTTAAAATAAGTAAGTGTTAGAATTAGTTTAAAGTCAGTACCACAATTACTAAGAAACATAGGCTATTGAATTTTATATACAATAGCTTCTAACATTTTTCCAGTATCAATTTTTGGATTGAAAAAGATTGTTATTACAATGACCTTGTCAAAATGCCAGAGAGTAAAGATCCACCCTCTGTTTTAAAAAAAATAAGCTACCTTTGTACAAATAAACAAAAAAAACACAATGTCCGAATATGCTTTATCTCAGAGGCATAAAAAAATTTACTGCTGACTCTCCTCATGGTAATTAAATTGTTGTAATTCATACACTGTTTTCTTTCTTGAACAATGAACATCAAAGTACATGTATATATTTTATATATTACATTTATTTACCTTTCTGGGATTAGGGTGACAGTTCAGTACGTGTATATATAAATACATTACCTTTCTGGGATGAAAGTGACAGTTCAGTACATGTATATATATAAATATATATATACATTACCTTTCTGGGATTAGGGTGACAGTTCAGTGGTAAATGAGCCAGCATTTCCTGGTAAGAGAATTCATCCCTCTCTGTACATTGTATGACTCCATCTAGGACCAACACATTCCCATAAGTTTTACTGAAAAGTACAAAAGCATATATATATATAATCTCTAAATTTTTCACTTTGGACATCAGCTATAGGGAATCTTTTAAATGAGAAAATCTAGTGAACACCTTAAACATTGATGATTAAACATTGTTAGCTCAATTATCAGTGGCGGATTTAAGGGGGAGGTTGCACCCGGTGCGCGCCCCTCTAAAATTGACAAAGTTAGCGTAAATCATAGTTTCGTCAAGAAAATGTAAAAGTGTCCACTTGGTAGACCTCATTTTTACCCTACAAAATCTCTAAAATCCAGGAGCTTCCAGGGGCTTCGCCCCCTGGGCCCCCACCTGGGCTTTGCCCTGGACCCACTGGGGGCCTCAAGGCAGCCCCCAGACCCCTGCTTACTTTTGCGCCCCCTCTAACTTCAATTCCTGGATCTGCGTCTGATTATGTCTCTAGGATAATTCATTGTCATAAAAGCTTTGAACATTTTTAGCTACTTCTCTGAAATATGCACCAATTTCAACCAAATAAGTTATACAGCATATATAGGTAAAGGGGGACAGTTTAAGTTTAAAATCTAGATATCACTGTGTACAATTGGACTGTCAGTCTGTGGGATGGAGCAAAAACCAACACTATAATTAATGCAAATGATTATTGTAAAAATTCCTGTTTACTCCTAGACAGATTGCCTGATGATAAGTCCCCTACCTAAAATTGTGAAATTCATGTACCCTGGGGACAGGATCCAGGCCTACAGTACTGTGTCCAGCTGAATGGGGTAAGAAATATGTGACATTTCCCATGTTTCCCAGTTTAGAGAAGATCTGTAGTTTTTACTGGGATGGGAAATAACAGTACTTACCACTGCTAATTACCACCACAGGTATATTTTGGCCAACCCTGGTAAAAAGGGAACTTTGAAATGTCAGAAACACAGGTATTGTTTCAAGTCCATACATTCTTGACACCCAGGTGATCATCAAAGCCCGTGGGCCTCTGGATTATAATCATTACTACATACAAAAACATTCTATATTCAACTCCCGCTATCTTTTATTAGTATAAACAAATGAAAGTATCTCAGTGAAGAAAACATGTATTGTTTTTTAAACATCGTGCCAATCCTCTTAATTATACATAATCAGCTGTTCACGGCCATCTTTCCCGGCAACGTGGGAAAAAAGCGGCTCCGTAACGATGTGATTCTTACCTTTTGAATACTAAAACATCCTGGTATTTTGATCTCTCTTGGAACAAAACTTCTTCAACTTGAAGTGACATAGCTTGCCCTGGCCATAATTCACTAATTTCGCTAAACCACCCGTCTTTAATTGTATTCATGTTTGGTGTGTTAGTCACGGTTAATGTCACTCGGAATTCTCGGGGTTTTAGGTAAAATGAAAGTATCATGCGTACAGTTTTTGTGAAAGTGGAGCGGATCCTTAGGTGGTGTTTCATCAAATAAAAATTTATTTAGGCATCTAATGAACAATAGCTAAATATATATATTAAAATTTTGGCGTACTTTCATAGACGTGAAAGAAAATATCACAGGAAATAAATTGATTGAGAAATAAAATACTTTTGAAACAAGTCGATCATTTGGTGCGCAACAATTCAATTAGTGAACATCTATACACTGCACACTAAAGATTTCTTATATTCCATGGTATTTGTGATCTGCCCTTGATTTAAAATTAATAAATTCAAATCTACATCATATACTCTCTTTGTTATTTAATTCAAGCGTTTTAAACATTTTATTAGGCCAAAATGTGAAATATTACAGCCATTATGGCTCCAACCAATTGAATTAATTGAAACTTTTATATCTGCATGTACATGTATTTTCTCCCATTTTCATAAGCAACAATGAGTTCATCTTTTGTTAGATATGGCAAGAGTGGCTGCGAATACTGCAGGTGGTTAAGCCATTTGATTGGATGCCTGGATTTGTTACCTGTAATACCTTCTCCATGACTGGACTAACCTCACAAACTTGAGGTATACACACAAAATGTAGATGAGAGTTTGAGACACAGGTACTCAAAGAAGTATCAACAATTTTTACACTTTAATATCTTTTCTTATTTAAAAGTTTCACTAGAAATTTATAATTAGATTTAATTGATAAATCTAATTAGAGACTTAAAATATTTTATACTATTTTCGGAAAGGTTCCAATCACATTTCATTCATAAAACTGATATCAGGTTAAAGAACTCATTGTAACCACACAGTCAGGTTAAAGAACTCATTGTAACCACACAGTGAAAATTGTGTACCATAAAATCTCATTTTTTAACCACAGTGTAACTGCTGTAACCACTGTAACCATTGTAACCAGCAAAAAAGTGAAAATTGTACCATAAAGTCCCCATTTTTAACCACTGTAACCACTGTAACCATTAAATAACTGAGGAAATGCTACTCAGTTACAGTCTTTTGTAACCCTTGTTACTGGTTACAAATGAACATACTTGAAAGTCGGGACTAATTTCTTCCCATATATGTCTTTTGTACTTTGTTGTCTTTGATAATCTTTCCTGGGGGTAAATGGCACGTTCCCTCCTATGAAAATGAAAAAAAACAAAAAACAAAACAAGAGGCCCAAGGGCTTCACGGTCACCTGAGTATATAATACAACACTGTAAAAGATCGATAGAAGTATATAGCAAAATTAACTGAAAGATGAAGCTATGTTGCCCTAGAATTTTTCAATTTTGGCACCCTTGCTCATCATAAACATGCATTTAGTTCATTTGCTTAATATCCAGGGGCAGAGAAGATTTTTTAAATAAATAATGCAGTTTCACTATATATTCAACAGAGCCCCGTCCTACAGTCATTCTACTATAAATGGACCAATTCAGGATATAAAACATGAAAAAAATAATTGTTTAGAATAGCAATATGAACATCATAATTATCTAAATGACGTATCAGAGAACTTGAAAAAAAAGAATTGCCCACAAATCTGGTATCGTTAACTTTTTACAACAATTTCAATATACTAAAACCCTTCCTGAATTGTTTCTGTTATTCTCTATGTTGGTTGATGAAGTGTAACCGTTCTGTATATGATTGTTTATGGAGTGTAAAGTTGCTCTCTGGGAAGTTTTAGGTCTGTGACTGTTTCTGTCTGTGACGTTTAAGGATGTGTGATTGTACCTCTTTGTGGTGTAGCGTGACTCTCTCTCTCTCTCTCTCTCTCTGTGATGTTGATGGAGTGTGATTGTTTCTTTTTGTGATGTTGCTGGAGTGTGACTGTTTCTCTTTGTGATGTTCATGGAGTTTGTGATGTCGATAGATTGTGACGCTTTTTCTTTGTGATGTTGATGGAGCGTGATGTTTCTATTTGTGATGTTGACGGAGCGTGACTGTTTCTCTTTATGAGTTGATGGAGGGAAGCTGTTTCTCTTTGTGATGTTGACTGAGCGTGTGATTGTTTCTGTTTGTGATAGATGATGGTGTGTGACTGTTTCTCTTTGTGATAGCTGATGGCGTGTGAATGTTTTTTTTTTCTCTCTGTAATGTTAATGGTGTGTGATTGTTTCTGTTTGTGATAGATGATAGTGTGTGACTGTTTCTCTTTGTGATAGTAGGATGGCGTGTGAATGTTTTTTTCTTTGTGATGGTTGATGATGTGTGTTTTTGATTCTATCTGTGATGGTGGTTGATGTGTGACTGTTTCTCTTTATGATGGTTAATGGTGTGTGACTGTTTCTTTTTGTGATGTTGATAAAGTGTGACTGTTTCTCTTTGTGATGTTGATGGAATGTGACTGTTTCTCTCTGTGATGTTGATGGAGCGGGACTGTTTTTCTTTGTGATGGTTAATGGTGTGTGACTGTTTCTATTTATGATGTTGCTGGAGTTTGATTATTTCTCTTTGTAATGTTGATGTAGTTTGACTGTTTCTCTTTGTGATGTTGATGGAGTTTGTGATGTCGATAGATTGTGACGCTTTTTCTTTGTGATGTTGATGGAGCGTGACTGTTTCTATTTGTGATGTTGACGGAGCGTGACTGTTTCTCTTTATGAGTTGATGGAGGGAAGCTGTTTCTCTTTGTGATGTTGATTGAGCGTGTGATTGTTTCTGTTTGTGATAGATGATGGTGTGTGACTGTTTCTCTTTGTGATAGCTGATGGCGTGTGAATGTTTTTTTCTCTCTGTAATGTTGATGGTGTGTGATTGTTTCTGTTTGTGATAGATGATGGTGTGTGACTGTTTCTCTTTGTGATAGTAGGATGGCGTGCGAATGTTTTTTTCTTTGTGATGGTTGATGATGTGTGTTTATTTCTATCTGTGATGGTGGTTGATGTGTGATGTTGATGGTGTGTGACTGTTTCTCTTTGTGATGCTGATGGTGTATGACAGTTTTCTTTGTGATGTTGGTGGTGTGTGACTGTTTCTCTCTATGATGTATGATCATGTGTGTCTATACTCATTGTGATAGTTGATGTAGAGTGAATGTTTTTGGTTTTGATGGTTGATGGTGTGTGACTGTTTCTCTTTATAATTGTTGATGATGTGTGATTGTTTTCTCCTTGTGATATTTGTTGGTCTGTGACTTTTTCCTCTCTTTTGCGATTGTTGATGTTGTGTTACTGTTTTTCTCTGTGATGGTGGATCCTGTATGGCTATTGGCCATTTTGATGATTGATGGTGTGGCTGTTTTTCCCTGTAATGGCTGATGGTGTATGACTGTTTCTCTTTATGATTTAGATGGTGTGATTGTTACTCTGTGACGATTGATGGTGTGTGAGTGTTTCTCTCTGTGATCTTGATAGTGTGTGACTGTTTCTCTCTGTTATGGGCGATGATGTGACTGCTTTTCTTTCTTCTTTGATTGTGACTGTTTCTCTCTGTTATGGGCGATGGTGTGACTGCTTTTCTTTGTGGTTTGATTGTGACTGTTTCTCTTCGTAACATTGGTGGTGTATGACTGTTTCTCTTCGTAACATTGGTGGTGTGTGACTTTTTCTCTTTGTAATGTTAATGGTGTGACTGTTTCTCTTTGTGATCTAGTTGGTGTGTTATTCTTTAGATGTGTGATATGATTGATGGATTGTTATAATTGTTGTTTATGGTGATTGATGGATTGTTACAGTTGGTGTCTGTGATAAATGATAGATTGTACAGATTTTAATGTGGGCTATGATCCTTGACAGTTGCTCTCTATTCTGGTTGATTGAATCTGACAGTTGCTCTGTTGAAGAGTGACTGGGTCACTAGCACTAGCTCTTTAATTATTAAATGAAAAGTGACAGTAGCCTCTTATAATCATTGATGTAGCATGACAGGTGCTACATTCGTTTGTTTTGATTAATACTGACAGTATAAGCTGTCACCTCTGATTATTGACAGTTGCTTCCTATGATCATTGACTGAGTATGGTATGATTTTTGTGGTTTTTAATAGTGCGATAGGTGTTATCTCTTATCTTTGTTGAAGATTGACCGGTGTTCTCTCCCTTTGTAGTAAATGTGGCGTTTCCTGTAATCATTGATGGCCGTGACAGTTGTAGTTTATGACTGTTTATTAAATTCGACAGTTCTGATGATGATTATTGATTAGTCTGTAATAGTACGAAAGAAGCTTATAAATAAGATGCACCCGTTGACGGTTGATGCAGGAATGGTGGCGTTTGTGTCCTATATGGTTGATAAAGTGGGTCACGTGTTTCCACTTGCAACATATGCCTCCAACAGACCTTACAGATGTCTTTAAGGGATGTGAAGGTACTTTCAGAAATGATGGTAAAAAGTAAATATGTCTTTATACGACTGTTTTCCTTCACAATGAAAAAAAAAACACTGCTCGAGTCGCACAAAAGTTGTGAAAACTATACCTGTTTGAAATTGTTAATGGAGTTCTCTTCCATGAATGAATGGCTTCAATATTGTTGTTCAACCAAGAATTGTGACACATTAAACATTGACTAAGACTAATTAGTGCTTTCATGGTTATTACACATTCTGGAATCATTGCTAACTATGACACGTACTTTTTACATGTACAATTCTATGTTGGTTTGTTAGCATTGACATAAATGGCCATTATTTTTGCAGGGTTTCTCCTATATTGTTAGGTTTGGGAATTTGTGATGATGATCAAAGCATAAATTCAACCAATCATAATTCTTGACTGATATTTGTTGCCTTTATCAAATGATACAGGGCGAAATCGATAAAATTCAGGCACGAAGCAACAGGGGGGCCGGGGGGGGGGGGGTTGAAATAGGATTTTCGAGTTGGGACAATTTTCCTTTTTTTTGTGCTTGCCAATTTTTTTTCAGGTAAGTTGAATTTTTTTTTTCTCTGGCTGCCCCCCCCCCCCCACTTTCAAAAACGATGCTACGTCCCTGAAATTTGATGCTATGCATGTATAACGTTTATCACAATTTTTTTTTATTACCAGGATTACCGACCTAGCTCATGACTTTTACTTTTAAACTACTTTTCAAGAATCTTTAGTATATTATTCTGCCAATATGCTCTCAGTTCGGATCCGTGGGAGAAAGCATTTTTTGTTTGCTTGATTGTTTAATATCCCTTCGAGAATTTTTCACTCATATTGAGACGCCACCGCTTACCGGTGGAGGGCTGCAAATTTAGACCTGTACTCGGCACTTACGGCCTATAAGCATCTACGGGACCCCGTTTTTTTTTTTTGGGGGGGGGGTTACGGTGAAATATGGAAATAACGAACAGTATTCAAGCTCAAAGTCCATTGAACAATACAAATCGAGAGTAAACATGGACCTCCAAAACAAAGGTGGGATCAGGTGCCATGGAAGAGTGAGCATCCCCTGCCGACCGATCACACTCGCCGCGTGCTCCTTGTCATGATCGGTAAATAACGGAAAAATCCGTCCACAATTCAGTGTGTAAATAATGGCCCAACAAATAGTATGAAAAAAGTCAGCCAGCATATGACTTAATGATAGATTATATTTGCTAACAAGGTCATTGTATCGACCATAGAATTTACAAATGATGATTTTAAACGAGACTGTTGATATTCTTGTTTCATCAACTTGTTTGTCAATAACTTGCCGCTCTCATCCAAAGGACACCTCACACAGTTTATTCGAACCTGCGACGTAAGGATCAACTCCTTACTCCTCGACTCTAGAGCAAAAAGCTCTAACCACTAAGCCACTCGTGCGACAGAAAGTATTGTGATATATGTATCGCATTAATGTTTCACATGTGTAGGGGTTGTCATGATAGTATTACCCTCTTTAACATTCAAGGGTTACCGACTATGTGACATTGAACTTTGCCTTACTATATAAATATTCAATGGTTTCTTTTGCACAGTTAGAGCAAAGAATTTAATTTTTAGCATCTGTGTTCCCTGAGACGCTGAACTTTTTTTCAGGGTTATTTTATCTTGTACAGGCACTATATCTTTTGAACCTTCATGGAGTCGTTTTCTAAATGATGAATTACCCAGGTATAAGGAATACATATAATGAGTACGATCATTATATAATTTTCTTATCATTCAATTACATGTAATTAGTAAACGAAACGAGGAAGAACTTTAATATTTGCCATGTGTACATGTATTGCTCGTAACAACCTGAACGTTAGGTCATATTGTACACTGTCCCGGAACTTTTGTCCATTTGCCCTTTATCTCAAAGCAGAGCTTCCCAAAAAAAAATTTCAGTGTATTTTATTTTATTTTATTCATTTATTGTTTTTATTATTTCTTTGATAGAAAAAACCATGTTTACTTTAGTCGTTTTAAAGCTCCTAAGTTCCAGGCAGTGACCAAGCTCTCCGGATGCATGTTATCACTCTTTAGCCTTCAAAGGCACAACCACTTTTTTGCATTATTGACGGTTCAATGTGATAACTGCTGCCAAAATCTGTAGTCAACTTTGACATGTTTTGGATTTGATTACTATAGGTACTATTTGTTGACTTTGACAGATGCAAGTTGGATTTGATTTGGGTTGTTTAGTTGTTGACTTTTGACTTGTGTTGCTTATATTTGTTGTCTGGTTGTTACAGGACTAAATATTGTCTTGTGTATAGCTGGACTGAACATGTGCTACCTATATATATCTGGTCTGGTAAAGGTTGTTTCTGGTTGTTTTTCATTAATATGATTTTAATTTATGACATTGTAATTTGCTATTGATGATGTTGTAAATGTTATCTATGTTTCTAGTTTTATACCTTTCTGTTTTATTGTATTCAGACTCTGTGGGTCAGGCTATTTTTTGCTGTGTTTGATTTTGCTTGTTGTCTGTTTTATTTCTCATTTGTTGAATATACTAGTTATTAACTGGATAAACAAATAAATGTAGATCAGAGTATAATAATTATGAAGAAATATAGACCTACTATCTTAAATTTCCATACGAAAATGTAAGTACACAGCGGGTTAAGGAGCTGGGGGTGGGGGGGGGGGCGATTTCTGAGGGCCCTCTTCTTCAAGTTTTATGAAAATTCACACACACTCACCCTTTCCATTTATGAGGAAATTGAAATATTATGTTTGAAAAAAAATTAAAACGATATTTTTTTTTTACAAATAACAACAGACATGGTCCTGGTTAATATGTACATGTATTATATCAATACAAAGAGCGTCTACAGGCGATGTTCCCGGCTTTGTTGGACTGATGAGTTCGTGCAATTCAATGGATTCGAGACGTGCGATAGGACCCACTACACATACACTTCTGAGAAAGATAAAATCTCTACCTGTAGAAAAAAAAGGATTTTATTCTATTTTATTTTAAATGTTTGTGTAATATGTATTATAAGGTAATTTTAATAATAAACGTACTTGGTGGCACATTATATTACATTTGAGTTCATTATCTTCATTTCTCTTCCGATCTCACCTTTACTATGTCTAGTAGTTGTAACAGCAGATGCCTCCTTGTCTGTTACAGCCAAAGTCATAGTCCCAGGAGAGACAATTTTCATAGATTATTCCCCAGAAATCAACTCTTCTTGCAGGGGCCCTTCCTCTGGCTCCAGGCCCACCTCTTCCTCTACCGGCCCCGGCCCCCCGTGCTCCAGCGGCTCCATTTGCCCCGGCCCCTCCTGCTCCTGCGGCAGCTTCCTCGGTTTCTTGCTCACTAGCAGCCATTCTGTAGGGATTAATGCAGTATCCGCCATCTCTACGACAGTTTGACATTATATCTGAAATTAGACAGAAATATTTTATTTTATATTTACTGAATTCTAATAATCATTTTTAAATTATATTTACAGGGAAACTTGGATGGAATCTTACAATGTCATAAATGTCTCTATAGAAGCCTCTGTTTTGATATTTATCCGTTTCTTTTTAATAATGTCTATTCAAACAAGATTATGAATAATTTCGTTCTCGAGTATAATTTTATTGCCATAGCTTATATACAGCAATTACCAGAATTCGTGAAAATTTTGTCCCGCTTATAAGTACCAAGTACTAATCTTGCGAAAATAAAGTGTCGCGAAAATTTGGTGATCTACAGTAATACAAGGGTTTATCCAAAGGGAAAGTCACAACTGCTATGAAATCTTTAATAATAGGAAGTCATCAATAAATCTTTTTATACTTATAACCCTAAGTATTTTGACTGGTGTCTGAAAATTTTATTCAGATAAATATCATACTTTTTAAAAACATTTTAAGATAAATGCAAAGTAAGGATACGTCCATCGCCACACGACAACAAAGTTGCGATTTAATACAGTGGGAAAAGGTATGCCCCTTTAGGAAATAAAGAATAGGGGAAATAATCACTTTTATTATAAATATAAAATCGACATCCCACTTAATATCTGTGAAATGTTTCGTTTTAATAATTAATTTGTAGGTTATAGAAAAGATTTTGTAGTACAACGAATTATTGGATGTATTTTTCCCCCGATTATGAAGTACTTGATTATATGTTTAATTATATTTTTTGTTTTAAAAAGAACGTAAATGTCGTACAAGGAGTTAAACCAGGCGTATAATTACGGATGCACAAGAAATACATGATTCTATATCAAATACTGCATTTGTTTATTTTTTATATATATATAAAATAGAGTTTCAGTGGTTTCGGAAGATGACGTCGAATATGATAAAATGAGTCATCTCCAGAATTGCCGAGCTTCGTCGGCCATTCTTGCGGAACACTCATATTTGACAAAATCCTATAAATTCTGCAAGTGAGCCATTTCTTTACGCTCTAAAACCTAAATATAAAGCGTCTATTCATAAACCTGTCACAAACAGTTTATAACAGAAGCACTGATTGTATCTGACCTGTTCTGTACCAACATAAAAAATCACTGACTATAATCAGCACCTTGCTGTATACCAGCTTGTCATCTAAAGTATTACAAAAATCAGTGGGACTTATACGTGTATATATGTATAAAAACAAGCTACAAAAATGTGTATATCTAATCATTTGTCCGAACTGAATATAAAATGAAGATAAGATACATGATAAGATTTGTTTTGCATTTCCGAAAAAACAACGAAGTCCGTTTTTTCCTCACTGTGTTATTACTCAACTTTGATATTTATTATTATCTAATCATTCTGTCTTTAAAATACCAGAGTAAGTCAATGGTTCAACGAACACTTTTATGGCTGGTCAAGAATTTAATATTGTTTTAGGATGGCGAGGAGTGCAGTGTTTCGTATCAGCAGGCACTGACACTGTCATTAATTATGGTGCGGTTCTTGACAATCTATGCGCTCATTCCTTGTCCAACGGTGTGTTTACCTTTATTATTTACAGGCGAAAACATGTTTAATTAATAAGTTTGACGCCGGTTAGGCTACATCAAACAAACTGCTTTGATGTTTGCGAATCAAAAAATTCCAACATATCAAAATCTACATTTACATGGATTTGCTGAGACAATTTTCACATTATAACAGTTGCTCAAAAATCAAAATTTAATGTATGCTAACACATTTTTTATTCTATGGATGAAAGCAGGATGTATTATTTTGGCAATATCGGATATTCATACATTAAGAAAATCGGCTTTTCATGTAAGAACCGTAATTCATTCAGCAAAGGTGGCCCATGACCTTTAAAAAGTTAGTATTATATAGTATAGTTGTGCAGATCTTAGATCAAGATGAACATGGTTTTATAGTTTTAAAAAGTCTGACATTTTGATAAATTAGATACACACAGAATCTTCCTAGTCTTTATATTTTCAATGGCACTAATTTGTTCCTTTTAGTGAACAGAATCTTTCTGCCATTATCAACCAAGTGTCATGTTCTGAATTTTGAATTTACCGGGTCGGAGTAAATAAATTTTGTTTGTACTCTCGCCCGGTAAATTCAAAATTTAGAACATGACACAAGCAAAAATTTCATGTTTTACCTTGATTTGATAATTTATTATTATTTAGTATTTGCTCAACCACCCAGGCCCCGTCAAAATGTGAACGTCTCAAAAAATAAAGAAAAAAATAAATAAAATAAAATAAAGATAGTAATTGAATTTATTTGGAAGAAAAAAATCATTGCAAGGTGATAAGCTGAAAAACAATAGGAAACAAATAAGTAAAACATAAATAGATTTAATGGTACACCTTGTCTCAGGGATCATCCAATAACAAAGGAAACGTCTCCAAATATCGATGCCTAAATAATAAATTGGCGTTTTCAAAATTTAGCGCAATCACTGGATATGGACTTGTTGGCAAAATCATGAATTAGCGCTATACATGTCCGTGCCGTATATCATATTTATAAATGTTTTCTTAGCGGTGTTTAAGAATTAGCGCATCGTTTTCTGCGCCAAAGCCGCTAAAACATGAAGTCCTCTTTTTTAAGTACATATACATTTTTTTTTACCTTTACTATTGTACATGTATTTATATTTTGTATTAAACTTTTGGAATTTTAAATCGAAAAACTATTATATATAAATGTACATGTGCTAGTTTCGATATTGAATATGCTCTAAAATATGCGAATACGCATAATTAAATAGTGTATTAATATGTTTCATATTTTAGAGATACGTTCTTAAAACTTTCAGCGTATTCTTACCTCTGTATTCACCGAAAAAGTCCCCAATAAACCCCTCATTTCCTGGTACAACATAGACCCCAATGAGACCTAACAGAAGCAAGCCCCGAAGCAGCATCGTGTCTGCTGCTCTCGCTGGATATTCCTGTCGTCTTATGTCCGTTTACGGTTTGGTCATTGAAGGTCACACCTTTTTATCCTAATGAATAAAGGTTAGAGGTCACGATAATTTAGGAAATAATAAATAGGAGAGGAATTTATGAATCTGCCAGTAGGTGGTAATAAATAATAACTTGTGTTTGCTCTGAAGCATGGTAATCTAGCATTTATCCGTTATATATTTAGATCATATGATGTCCATTTGCTGTTGTATACATAACCTCCTCAGGACATTCAATGATGTAGCCTTTGACAAGACTATATCTTCGTATTTCTTATAACTATACTAATTAATACTCAACTTATATACTAGGAAAAGTCCATTTTCTGGAACCTAAGGACAGTGAAGATTTTCCATTTTTTGTGTTGATAAATGACATGGAATTTAAACGATCTATGGTGGGATATATCAAAAAGCTAAAATCCGAAACGTGCATGTTATTGATCCTTGTCGTTTCCATCTTTTAAAAAATACATATTCAATCAGTCAATATGAAGATTAAATTACAATAAATTGGTATAAAACACAGGAACTTGACGTCATACTTTTTTTTTTACTTATCCCCAAAAATGTAACCACCCACTCAAAAAATATGTAGGGGATATATTTTCTTAAGAAAAAAATGACATCAAGAGTCTGTGATATAAAGGTCAAAGGGATTGCCTCTGGTCATTTTCTTTCAGTCCAAAATTAGGTTGCAAAAGAAGAGTATCTGTTTTGCGGGGGAGGAAAGAAAGAGCGGGTGAGGTTGAAGGATATGACATTCTGCCTATCAAGTGTCGTAACTAAGTGACGAAGAATAATCTTTGTCTTTCTAACATTTTTATTTTACAAAATAAAAAACTGGAACATAATTTTTGCAGAGTTCTATTTGGTTAAATGAAATACTTTGAATGCTGCTAGGACATTTTGGACATGCATTCTTCTTTGCAAATGGTATTTGATGAAAAAAAGAGAGGAAAAGAAAACAAAGACGGTAAAAAGTATGATACTATATGTAATGGAGTGTCATGTACACAAACTTTTTCATTGTTATTTGTCTTTGTCCTTTAATGCCAGTTGGGGAAAAAACTAACAATTATCTGTTTGAGTGTGTGTTAATTTGAAGCTCCATAGTATTTCGACTACCGGTTATGTATTTAAAATTTCATCATTGTGGACTTAAATAATGTGTATAATCCCCCCCCCCCCCCAACATTTGCCAATTGTTCTATCCTGTTCCTTAGCAAAAGATTCCTTGGAAGATAAAAGTGGTTGACCGGTGATAAGTCGTGTTTCATTCGATAGTACATTTTCTTACATTTCAATTTTTAAGACAAACATCCCAAACAGTGGCCAAGCTACCATGTATGCGTGTTTGCTAAAGCATCCACATTATTTTAAAAAAAAATAATAACTAGATAAATGAAATAATATAAATAAATAAAAGAATACAAAATAAATTCTTGAGAGAATGTATTTAAATAAAGAATAAGGGCGAAAAGGCCTTGAAAAATGCCTATACTTCGACAAATAAAAAGTGAAAATTAAATCTCAATTTTAACTCAATTTTCTTTGGTATTTCAGTTAACATTTATGTTTATTTTAAGTATGTAATAATCTTACGAGTGTTAAAATTATTCGTCTATGACATAACATGCACACTAAAGAGGGCTAAAGTGATGCCTGCGCGCAAGTCTGTGTGGTTTACACACCAATAACTCTCACGAAACTTAAAATCATTCTTTATATTTACATTTTACATATGTTCGTACTTACATATTACGTCTCTGTGGCCTCATTGTGAGGTCACTTTAGCGCGAGTTTCTCCGTGTGCATAGGTGTACACAATGCATAGGTGTACACAAGAATGACATTCAAATCAATTTCATAGTTGGTTTGTGGAAAAACACAGCAAATGTCAATATATGATAATGAATTTTTGATTATGACTTTCTGTGAGCGATGAAATATAAGGCAATTGAATCAATTTAATAAACTTCCATTAATACCACAATTTTGCATATAAATGTTGCAAAGAAAATCTTGCGCCATACACTTTTAAATGCTTTTAAATTTGACTAAATTTAAACACTATGCAGCATAATTTTCCTTTCAGAAAACCTCTTTTGCTGTACACATGATTTTATGTCTTTAATAGCCCCAAAACGGTTGAATGACTTGATAAAAATTTCTTGCATTGCTTTAAAGTTGAAAGTCCTAGTAAAAGTTGGTGCTAGATGTCATACCCTATGATTTCAAATGATCCATAACAACTCTAATGATTCTAAGAATTTGATATTTAATAATGTTTTGCCACTTTCTTTGTGTTCTATTTTTAAAAAGAAAAATCTAGTTGCCATTATTTGTCCTGGAAGAATAAACCCAGTTTTTGAAAAAATAAAAATATCCTTACGCTTTAGCCACTTAGAAACCAAATACTAGTAATAAATGTGGTTGTATTGATACAAATTTCCCGTAAACTGTTTTAATTTATTTCTGAGAAACAAAACACATTGTCAGAACTGACCCAAACTGTACGGGGTTAATACATGTATAACAATTAAAATCTATATGAATGACACTGGCGAGTTTTTTTTAACATTTCTCTTGGTCACACTACAATCTTTAGAATTAATTTCAGTTCACTTTATTTTGTAACTTAGACTTGTATCTCACCATTGTATAGAATAGCATAAATTCATATAGTCTAATTTAAGATTGTACCACACTATTTCGCCATTGTTATTTGCCACAGGTAAGCATTTTATTTTGAAATCTATCCACCAGAAAAAAAAACGCAAGGTATTTGTCAGGACATATCAGATATTTTGTCTTGCAACATCAAATAAATTATTTTTCTATTTACGGCACATTTGGACTTCCATATAGAAATAAAAATAATATTCTTCCGTAGGGTGTACTGAATTGCTTGAATTCCATTTTATTTTCATTTTTTGTAAAGATTTGAATATATACAGAAGAAGGAAGGGTATTATTTTCCATATTTTCCCTTTCCCATATGATTCTTTAAAATTAGTAAATTTACAATTATATACTAGTACCAGAATATAACTAAGGTTAAAAATTATGTATACGTTGTAATCATGATATAGAAGACGAAAGTACTATTATATCAAGCCTAGTGTACTTTCAAAAATTAATTCAGTGCCAAGTACTAATAGTGTTAAATATCTTTTTAATTTGGACAATTTTAAAAATACTGCTATATCATTTAAAAAAAAAATATTGATGTATAACACTATTTTCATGCCTGTATATTTACGTTAACTCTCTCTGTATGATTTTTTCTTAATAACATGTACTTGTTACTCTGAGCCAGTGGCTTAACACACTGCTCAACGCGTTATCGGCTATTCGGTTGTTATCGGGCATTCGGTGCAAGAAAAGCGATGTTTAGAAAACGTAGGTGATTTTAAATTTCTTAATTCAACGATAATTGCGTACTCCAGCAAACAAAGTTTGTGATCTTTGGCAGATATATGATTATACTTTCAGCAGCAAAAAGCACAAATCAAATCACTCTCTTTCAAAAGATCTACAGCTCTTTCAAATGATATTTTAGAAAAATTTCGGAATATGTCATCACATTTTAGCTTTTTTAGAAGTCATTTTCAGTTTTTTGTATTTAACAAAGTAGTTTATATATTCTATGGACAATCATATACCTGTAGATAAGCAGACTAAGATCAAAAATCCAAATTAAGGGTTAGTTAACAGGCATATAAAATGTCTCGTTAGGTGAAAACATGTTATCGTCAACAAGGTTGATGTTGCCGGATAATTCGGTTTTTACGAGTGCACGTTATCGGAAACTCAGGTTAAAAAGTTTTCTTCAGCTTTAGAAATAGATTGGAAGAAAGTCCGTTAAAATCTGTCAATCTTTGAAAATCTCAAACGTAATGTTTTTTAAGAAATTTGTGAAAATTTTCTAGCTGTCCATTGTTAGTTTTTTGATATACATGCATATAATTATAATTATGATTTTATAATAGAACCACTTATCTGCTCAATCATTTTTCTGTTTTCCATTAAAGATAGGCACTATTGGCTTTAGGTGGTTTCAGACGTAAATATACATGTATATAACAAATCTTTAGTTTCTTTAGTTAGTCAGGTCTTACGATCTATTATGTCATTTTTGAAAAAAAAAAAAAAAAAACATCGTCACTTCAAGTGACACAATGAGCTAAAAGTTTGTTTTGTCCAATGCAGAGCGATAGCATTGTTTGTGTCAAACCATTTTATGGTTTGAAATAGAGGAAATTGAATGAGGTGCAAATATACCGTAAAGAAATATTTCTTTCTTGTTATAATTGGGTATGTAGTAGATTAAGGAGACTATCCTTGTACAAAAACATGGTTCAGTAAAAATAAATAAATAAATAAAATTGACTTTAAAAAAACGTTGAACTCATTTCCCGAACGTGAAAAATACCTATTTAGGGGGAGGGGGAGGGGGTTGCTGGTCGATTCACTTCAATTCTTCACATGTTTAACCTTTTTAACCTTTTCTACAAACAGTGATCCGCGTTTTCAATGGGGAAGGAGGTGTGCCAAAGTTTTTTTTTATTTACTTCACTATAAATATTCAATAACTCTGCAAATTCCAGGTGAGGTCCGAACTTCCCCGACGATCCCATCCTAAATCCGAAAATGAGCTCTACCTACACATTGAAATGTCTAGGTTTTTTTTTCATTCGGCCGATAAGGCAAAGAGCACACCGCGGGTGTGATCGGTCGACAAAGGATGATCCCTTCTTGCCCCTGAACCAACATATGATGTTGTTAGTGTTCCGTGTTTACTCTGCTCCAAATGTATACTGTTTCAATAGACTTTTGAACTTGAATAAGATATATTTTTATTTCATTGAAAATAGTTTCTTTCCGTTAGTAACGCTTTTTGTAAACTAGTTAAGTCATTTTTTTTCTCAAAAGTTGGAATTCTTGGTAATATTTGGTCTAACACCCTTTTGGAAAATTCATTTAACCACCCTTGAGTTTAGATTCTTTAATTGCTTTATACAAAACTAATACATGTATGTACTTAGTTCTAACAAAAGGAACAACAGTGG